GCTATGGCACAGCAAATCTGCAGGCAGGCCAGAATACAAGATTTTTGGAACCGAAGCATACACATACATACCCAAGCAACGGAGGTCGAAATGGAACGCCAAAGCAAGGAAAGGAATCTTCGTAGGCTATGATGAGAACACAAAAGGTTTCAGAGTGTATTTTGAAAATAAAATAGAAATACACAGAGATATAAAGTTTCTACCAGCGAAGAAATAGAAGAACAGAAGATGATAGAAGAAATACTTTTAGAGCAACAACCTGAAGAATCAGAAGAGGAAGGAGAAGAATCCGAGAAAGAGCAACAGAACGTACAGCAAGGAGAAATAAAAAATCAAGAGTTGGAGTCTAATGAAGAAACAAGAGATCACGAAGAAATCCGGAAATCGGAAGAAGACTCAAGTGATTCGGAAGAAATTCAGCGACCACAGGAAGATACGCGAAAACTTCGAAACAGAGCAACCATTAGAAAGCCATCTAAATATAAAGAATTCGAGCTAGACATCGAAGAGCTGTTTGTTGCAGAGAGCAAAAATCCACTCACTTACCAAGAAGCAATTCAGTGCGAGGATGCGGAGGCCTGGAAGAAAGTAATGAAAGAAGAAAAAGAATCTCTGGACAAAACCCGAACGTGGAAACTGGTAGATCCACCCGAGAATAAACAAATTCTCCGGAATAAGTGGGTTTTCAAATACAAACCAGATGCCAAGGACAACATGGGAAGATACAAAGCAAGACTTATCGCCAAGGGTTTCATTCAAAGGCCGGAAGTGGATTACGGCGAAACATTCAGTCCAGTGGTGAAATTCGGCTCAATCAGGTCAATTCTGGCGGTGGCAGCAGCAACGGGGATGAAACTTGCACAGTTTGACGTGAAGACGGCTTTCCTGAATGGAGATCTGAACGAGGACGTATACATGGCCCAGCCGGAAGGTTATGAGGATGGGTCTGGTCGAGTATGCAAACTGAATAAGGCACTGTATGGCCTTAAGCAGTCTGCTAGGTGCTGGAATCAAAAATTCACAAACTGCCTGAAGGAGTTCGACTTAAGAGCAACCGAGGCAGATCCGTGTGTCTTCACAGCAGAAAATAATGGAGAAAGCCTCATCCTAGCGATCTACATTGACGACGGCTTGGTCGCCTCATCTTGCAAGAAAAAAGCCGATGAACTCCTGAAGTACCTTGCGACAAAAATTGAAATAACAGTAACTCCATTACGTTTATTTTTAGGCATAGAGATAGAACGTTTCCCGGATGGTTCACTCTGTATAACCAGAGCAAGTACGCCGAGAGAGTCGTGGAGCACTTTCGGATGGAGGACGCACACGCGGTATCCGTTCCAGCTGATCAACACCAGGACCTGAGCTTGGAGCGTCCCGAAAATGAAGGAAGGCAGATCAAGGTGCCTTACAAGGAAGCTGTAGGAAACCTGCTCTATCTTTCAATGGTGACAAGACCGGACATAGCGTACGCCGTTAACGCAGTGAGTCAGTACGCGGAGTCGCCAAGCAAGGAACACTGGAATGCAGTGAAGCGTATCATTAAGTATGTAAAGGGAACTATAAATTACGGTATAAAATACAGAAAAGACAAAGGGAACTTAGACATAACAGCATATAGCGACGCAGATTTCGCGGGAGACAAAGAGACTAGAAAATCAACCAGTGGTTTTGTTATAAAGTTAGGGAACGCACCGGTTGTATGGGGCTCACAAAAACAACGATGCGTAGCTTTGTCAACTACCGAGTCAGAATATATCGCGGCTAGTCAGGCAACCAAAGAACTGATATGAATTTGTAGACTGTTAAAAAACTTAGTTCGTAAGAATTACAGAACTCCTATAATGTATGTGGATAATCAAAGCGCTAAAAGACTTATAAAAAATCCCGAATTCCATAAAAGGAGCAAACATATCGACGTAAAATATCATTTTGTAAGACAACTTTATGAGGAGGGAGCTTTTGCGTTGCAGTATTTACATACAGAACACCAAATCGCAGATATATGTACAAAACCGTTACACAGAGTAAGGTTTGAGAAATTACGGGATGAGCTAGGGGTAATTAAGATAAAAGATAAGAACTAATTTTTTTTGGTGTTTGTTATATATATTTCTTTAAAATGTCAATCCAAAGTGGGAGTGTTGAGAAACGCACTCAAAAGTTTGTTTCAAAGTATGTTCAAAAGTATGTTATGTTGTAATGACATTTTATCCTAGTGTATAAGTTATGTTTAAGAACCTGATCTGTTCGAGATTAATTTGAATCTCGTTTATTTCATCCCCGACGTGATGGCAGCATCAGCCGGGTCACATCGTGCAGCGCTGCATGAGCGCTGCCCGCGCATGCCCGATCGCGACGCGAGGCGACCGCGCGACTTCACGTACGTTTCCGGAGCTCTTTGTCTCATAGCGACCGTACGTAGTACACGCGTCTTGAAGTGCGGATAGTTATCGAGTGCTCTTTTGTGGACTTTCTCACTTTCTCATCTTCTCAGCCGAGACTTGACTCAGTGCGGACACGTAGTGAACTCTCAGCAGTGCGAATCATCCAGGACATTTCTAGATACAGCATCAACGGCAGCTCAGGCTCACCACGCATCGCACGCCGGCGCCGCGTGGACACGGCTCACGGGCATCTACACTCACGAGGCCGGCTCTCGATCAGTAATATCGACCCGCGCAAGTGATTAGAGACTTTTCATCCACCGTTAACTCATAGACTGCTCAACTGTAAGCCATTACACTTATTAAACTGTGACACGGATTTTACTCTAACTACCAGAGCTCTCATATCACGTGATTTCCAACCGCTCACGCGTGCAATCTTTCCCTGAGTCTCTCACCGCTAAGTTCTCTCACCCCTGCTTCCATCCGCAGCGGTACCAGCGAGCTCTCCTAACGAGAATCGCTAACATTTTTTGGTCCTTCGAGCCGGATTGCGGCGGGGCTCTCGGACGGATTAGCTCAACCACGCAGCGATCACGTGATCGGCGGCGCGCAAAGATACGGTCCCACTCAGCGACCACGTGATCTCACGGCCCTTTCGCGTGATCAGCGGCGCGCACACATACGGTTCCACTCATTGATCACGTAATCTCACGCTCCTCTCGCGTGACAACTCTCATCGGCCGGCGAGACCCGACAGACACACTCACGCTTGACGGACATCTCACTCCCCAAGTTCACCGGGGAGTATGCCGCATGGTCTGCCTTTCGAGATCTCTTCTCAAATCTGATCATCTCAAACGAGCAGCTCACAAACGTGGAGAGACTTCATTATCTCCGCTCGGCGCTCATATACACAGTGACACTCATCGATCATGTGATACCACGGCTCTCTCACGTGTCATCTCACCATGTCGGACGATCATAAAACGGGCAAGGCGGACCGCCCGGTGACTCAGCAACTGGAACCGCGGCCGGGAGATCGCTTATCCTCGAGGACGGCGTCTCCGGTTCGGCTCTCCACGAGACTCGCCCTGAAGGTGCAGACGCAGCTGGATCGAATCTGCACTTTCAAGGCCATCGCAGAAATTCTCCCGGAGTCTCTTGCAGAGATTTCTGTTGAAGAGGTAAATCAGCTCTGGCTTCAAATTGAGGAGACGCACAAGGCGCTCCTCAAGGAACACGTCTACTTCGAGGTCTCATGGCCCTCTGCGCTCACTCATCACGAGCATTTCTCGGGGAACGCTCATCAGGAGGAAACGCTGTGCCACATGCAAGCGCGACGCATCATCGGCGTACTCCGCCACTCACTGTCAGCTTCGTCCGCTCAATCAACCTGTGGTTCGTTGGGCACGCCCGCAACCTGAAGAGACGGTGCAGTCGTCGAGACCAGCTCACACGTCCGCTCATCCTGCTCAACTCTACTCGCCACAGCCTTGGCAGTGATCAGCTCATCCACCACTCATCGCTCAGCGCGTCTACTCATTGACGCAGGATCCGAACTCACCTTCGTCACGGAGAATCTCATTCGGCAGCTCAACATCCCTCGTCAATACTCAGGTATTGTCGTCAATGGAATTGCAGGCAAGGAGTGTACTCGGACACGAGGAGTCGTGTCACTCATGTTGCGCTCGACACATTCCCGCGCAACTGCCACAATTCAAGCTCATGTCCCCCGGACAGTTACATCAATCGTACCATATTTCGAAGCAGAACCGGAAGAATGGCCGCATCTCAAAAACTTGGCATTAGCCGATCCAGATTTTCTCACCTCTCGGCCAGTTGACATCCTTATCGGAGCAGACGCTTACGGGCGAATCATCAAGCCCAATATCATTAGGCATTCTCCACTCATGCCGATAGCGCAACTCTCCATTTTCGGATGGCTCGTTCTCGGACCAGTCAAGAGAGAAGCAATACGCACGTCAACGCATCATGCTGCTACTCAATTCAACGAGGATGCTCTTAATGAGCTATTGACGAAATTTTGGAATCAAGAGGAGGTGCCTACTCACGATGTCACTCAGTTCACTCCTGACGAGCAGAGGTGCGAGAAGCACTTCAAGACTACAAACTCTCGTGATTCTTCAGAGAGGTACATCGTCAGGATTCTACTCAACTCACCAGTAGATCTTTTGGGTGATTCTTACAACGTCGCTCATCAATGTCTGAAGGGATTAAGCAGACGATTCTCAAGGGATGTGAATTATCAACGTCTCTATCAGCAATTCATGATTGATTACGAGACACTCAACCACATGACGAAGGCATCATCCATCTCCAGTCATCGCCCTCATTTTCACCTGCCACATCACGGTGTCCTCAAGCCTGACAGTATTACAACGAACCTGCGGGTAGTTTTCAATGGCTCTAGCGCATCCACATCAGGCTACTCGGTCAACGACCTCATGTACACTGGAGCAAAGCTACATCTGAACATCTCAGATGCTCTACCATGGATACGTACACATCGTCACATGTTCGCTACGGACATCATCAAAATGGACAGACATTCAGATTCACAGGGATGACTGGGAGTTACAGCGGATACTCTGGATGGACAATCAGCTCAATGAGGTGCCATATCATTCAACAACGGTCATCTACGGGACGAAGGTCGCACCATTCTCAGCCGTACAGACCTTGTTACAATTAGCAGAAGACGAAGGATATAGTTTCCCACTGGCTGTGCCAGCTATCACTCACAGCAGATATGTCGATGACATATTTGGTGGTGCAGATACCGTGCAACAATTACAGGAGGTTGCACCTCAACTAAGGGACCTCTGCATGGCGGGCGACTTTCCGCTAGCAAAATGGCATGCAACTCATCTCGACATACTCAAGACTGTTAACGACAGCCAAGACCAAGGCTCACAAATCACCTTCGACGATTGCGCAACCAAGATACTCGGACTCAAATGGCTCCCTCAAGAAGATACACTTGCATTCTCAACCAGGAACTCACGTACTGAAGGCAGACTCACAAAACGCCTCGTCTTATCTGAAGTGGCTCAGATACTCGATCCACTTGGTTTTGCATCACCCGTCGTGATCAAGGCCAAAATTCTCTTGCAGGAGCTGTGGCTGCACAAGCTCCAATGGGATGACCCACGGACATCCCAGCTCTCAACCCGGTGGCTCATCCACAGAGAAGCACTCACAAGCTTGGCCAAGCTCTCCATACCTAGATGGTTCAACACCTGGAGCAACTCTTCTGTGGAACTGCAAGACTTCTCTGACGGTTCTCAATTGACAATGACTGCAGTCGTATACATCTCCGTTCACGACTCAACTGGATCCACGTTTTCACTTGTGTGCTCCAAAACTAAGGTAGCACCTCTCAAGCGGCTCTCAATCCCTCGACTTGAACTCACGGCTGCTCTACTGCTCTCTCGATTCATGCAATACGTCAAAGCCACTTTAAACATGGACGTAACGGCAACTCACTTGTGGACGGAATCTCTTGTGACACTTTCATGGATCAGATCTCATGCATCACGCTGGACGGATTTTGTCAGAAACAGGGTGGCTCAAATTGAAGAACTCACTCCAGCTGCTCACTGGAGATACATACCTGGAACTTCCAATCCGGCTGATGGCGCATCACGAGGCCTCACGGCTGCTCAACTTCAAAGTCAATAACTTTGGTGGACGGGACCACCATGGATGCTCAACCCAGACTCATGGCCGTCGCAACCAGCACTCTCCGAAGAGTTGAGTGCAACAGAAGCTCACCCAGGCGTTTCGCTATTGACGGTTACGCCAAGGACTGATTATCAATGGGAACTCAACTACAGGTACTCAAGCCTCACTAAACTATTGAGGATTACAGCTCTCTGTTTCAGATTCGTCTCACGGTTGAGGAAAGTCCACGACTCATTGCCTGTCAGACACATCTCTCCAGAGACCTTGGAGAAAGCGAGGCTCTTCTGGATTCAGGCAGCTCAAGCAACGTACTTCTCTCACGAGCTCAAGGCGCTACAAGCAGACTCACCGTTGGCAAAGGCACACGCATTCAACAGATTAACTGCGTACATCGACGCTCAAGGAGTCATTCGCGTCGGCGGACGACTCGCTCACGCAGCTCTTTCACTCGATGCGACACATCCTGTACTATTGTCTCGTCACTCTCAGCTATCATCATTGATCATCGCTCACGCTCATCAACGGACTCTACATGGAGGCACGCAGCTTACGCTCTCGCACATCCGACAACAGTACTGGATTCTCGGCGGGGCGGCTCCTGTCAAGTCTCACATTCTGCGGTGTGTCACGTGTGCTCGGCAGAGGGGGATCCATGCTCATCAACTGATGGGCCAACTACCCTTCTCTCGGGTTACGCAGGCACGACCGTTCACTCATACAGGTGTGGACTACGCGGGGCTACTCACCGTCATGCCCAGGAAAGGAAGAGGTGCCAAGACCACTAAAGACTGGATTTACGTTTTTGTCTGCTTCTCAACTTCAGCAGTACATCTAGAGGCGGTCAGTGACTACTCATCCGAAGGGTTCATTGCCGCCTATCGACGCTTCTCATCCAGACGCGGCATTGCTCACACCTCACAATCAAACTGCGGCACCAATTTCATTGACACGGATACAGCTCTCAAAAGGCTGTTCATCCAGAGCACTCAAGAACATCAGCGCATTTCTCAACTGCTCTTGCAAGACAACATCCGATGGGAGTTCAATCCCCCAGCGACACTTCACATGGGAGGAAGATGGGAAGCCGTCGTAAAATCAACAGTATCACCTACGGCGCACTATTGGAGAAAGCGTGCTCACCTTTGAGAAACTCACCACATTGCTCACTCAAATTGAGGCAATGCTCAACTCGCGACCCCTCGAACCATTGAGTGACGACTCAGAAGACATCTCAGCACTCACGCCAGGTCACTCCTTCGTCGGAAATCCTCTCACCGCCATACCAGAGCCATCACTCACTGACCTGGCAATCTCAAGACTCTCACGATAGCAACTCATCCAGCAAACGGCACAACATTTTTGGACACAATGGTCATCGCATTACCTACAACGCCTACAAGCCATCTCAAACTGGCATTACAGGAGCAACGAGATCAAGATCGGATCATTGGTGCTCATCACAGACGAGCGGCTACCACCATGCAAATTAGCCCGTATATCAGCCCTACATCCTAGGAAGGATGGACTCGTGCGGGTGGTGACTTTGAAGACAGCCACTCTCATCCGACCAGTGATCAAGCTCTCCGTCCTGCCAATCTCATCTTAAGATCAGGGATCATCAACAACGTTGCTGATGGCGGGCGGAATGTTCGAGAATAATTTGAATCTCGTTTATTTCATCCCCGGCGTGATGGCAGCATCAGCCGGGTCAGATCGTGCAGCGCCGCATGAGCGCTGCCCGCACATGCCGGATCGCGACGCGAGGCGACCGCGCGACTTCACGTACGTTTCCGGAGCTCTTTGTCTCATAGCGACCGTACGTAGTACACGCGTCTTGAAGTGCGGATAGTTATCGAGTGCTCTTTTGTGGACTTTCTCACTTTCTCATCTTCTCAGCCGAGACTTGACTCAGTGCGGACACGTAGTGAACTCTCAGCAGTGCGAATCATCCAGGACATTTCTAGATACAGCATCAACGGCAGCTCAGGCTCACCACGCATCGCACGCCGGCGCCGCGTGGACACGGCTCACGGGCATCTACACTCACGAGGCCGGCTCTCGATCAGTAATATCGACCCGCGCAAGTGATTAGAGACTTTTCATCCACCGTTAGCTCATAGACTGCTCGGTAAATGTTTCCTTTAAC